CAAGTTCTTGTCAGCACGGTTCGGTGCGGTCGCGCGAGGTCCGTCCGGGGCTTGCCGTTGGCTGGCGTTTTTGTTGTTGGGCTGATTCTGTGTCGTGGACCTCGAGCACAGGGCAGGCACCGGATGTTGCGATGACGGGTCTTCCCTCCCGCGCGCCCCTCTTGCTTCGGATGCAACTCTTGGGAGGTCGAATCCTGATTTTGCCCTGGTCCGAGATCCGGCTAAATCCCGCTTGATCCGGCTGAAGCCCGCTTAATCCTGCTTGATCCCGCTTCTGGCGTAACAGCCCCCCAGTGGGGCTCAATCCTCCTCAATCCTACCGACGAAGACTTCCCAGTAGTTGGTTCCAAATCTTTTCCAAGGTGTACAACAGCCCTACATCCAAGTTCAGGAAGCCCAGCCTCCCCGCGTGCTTGCGTGGGACGGACTACGGCGCGCCCGGGGGGGGGGGGGGGCGGGAAGGGGGAGGGAGAAAGGTTCTCGCTCCACTCCCCAGATATTCACTACCCACCAAAACACCCTACCCAACCCGAAGGCTCCGACTTGCTCTCCATTTCCAGTGAGTGTGGGGGGAGGGGGTCGGGGGACATTGAAAAAAACATATGGAACTTGTACCCTTTCCCAACCCGAAAGGGGGTTAGGATGGTTTGGTAGGTATTCAGATCTTCGGCGACATGTTTTTGTGTTCCATCCAGGTCAAGCCAGCCCCAGGAAAGGAGGGCCTGGAGCCACGGGGCTGCGCGATCGGAGAACCGGATATTTCATTTCGTCGGATGTCTGGGTCCTCTGAGGAGGAGAAGGAGGAGAAGGAGGAGGAGGAGGAGGAGGAGCATGTCCCTCTACAGGAGGAATATTCAAAAGTATGTTAAAAACATGTCAGGGACGATGTTTGTACTGCTCCTGGCTACTTTTAAAAGAGCCGCCTGTAGGAGGGCATGCCCGACCCGACCGAACTCTCAAGCAGTGCGTCTGTCGGGCGAGCGCGCGGGCCTGGCGGCCCGCTCAACTGATGCCACGAGGTCGCTCGCTCCCGCGGCTTGGTCAAGAGATGTGGAGGAGGAGGGGGAGGAGGAGGAGGAGGAGGAGGAGGAGGAGGAGGAGGAGGAGGAGGAAGAGAGGAGAAGGAGGTGGAACAGCGTGTCGATCTCCGACCCATGTCTGCATCTTCTGACCCGGGCCAATCCAGACCAGGGTCAGCAGGAAACCAAAATCTGCAGTGCAGGAACACAAACATTGCAACGCAGGTCTTCGCAAACCCGGGTCAGCCAATAGGCGCGGCCGCCTCGCGGCCACGAGCGGCTCGCTAACCCGGGTCAGCCAGAGCGGTTCTTCGCAGGCTCCTGCAGGATCTGGTGCTCTGGCTGACCCCCGTTTGCATTGACCCCCGTCTCGAGGCTCCCGACTCGGAGTGCAGCCGGCTCAAGAGTCGGGGGTGGACAGACCCCCCCCCCACCCTGACACGTCGATTGGTGAATTGTTGTCGCTTCGCGAATCCCCACCAGCCCATCCAGAAACGATGCCCAGAGGAATTGCCTCGATCAGAGAAGTGGGCAGCACACAGAGGAAGCCATTATGAGACATCTTGGGATATCTTGAGCCATCTTGGAGGTCATTTTGGGCTCTCCCAGACGCTCTTGGAGTCATCTTAATCCGTGCCCCCCCCCAAGAGGCCTCCATGTGGCTAAAACCTGTGTAGAATCAATGATTAGGCATTCTCGCCGAGGCCTCTTGGAGCATCTTGGGTGCATCTGGGGGGGCTCTTGGGGCCTCTTGGGGGTCTCTTGGGGGCCTCCGGGGGGCCTCTTGGGGGCCTCTTGGGGCCATTTTGGGGCCATCTTGGGACCTCTTGGGGCTTCCTGGGCGCTTCTTGGGGCCATCTTGGAGGGAGTCGATCAAACAAGAGGGGGGGGTGAATTAGCGCCCCCCCTCGGAAGCCCCTAAAATCGCCTCTTGGACCCCTCTTGGAACGCTCTTGGAGTGCTCTTGGGCGCTCTTGGGGCCGTCTTGGGGCTCTTTTGGGGCTCTCTTGGGGCCCTCTTGGGCCATCTTGGAGCCATCTCCAGGCCTCGGATGGCCATCGGAAGCGAAAAGGCGAGAAAGCAAAAATCATTGATTTTCCTTAGGTTTTGGGACGATTTTGGCCTCTTCGGGGCCTCCTTGGGGAGCTGTTTGGCCACTTGGAGTTATCTTGGGGCCGTCTTTGGGCTTCTTGGAACCATCTTAGGAGCCATCTCGAGCGATCTTGCGCTATCTTGAGCCATCTTGGAGCTCATCTTGGGTTCTCTGAGGCGCTCTTGGAGCCGTCTTGGGCCATCTGGGACGCTCTAACTACCCGCGGCCCCCCCCGTCCAGGTCCAGGGGAGGGGGTAGGGGGAGGGGTAAACCCCTCCCCAAGGGGGAAGAGGGAGGGGTGGAAGAGGATCTGTTCTAGACCACCTACGCCCAGAGGGCTGGTGGGATTGGGCGTTTTCGGTTCGCGAGAGGGCGTCGCGGCCGTCATTTTTGCGGGTCCAGGTCCGTCGGTTTCGGTCCTAGGCAGTTTTCTCCAAAGGGTGGTCTATTACAGGGAGGTTTGTCCACCGCCGAAAGAGACGGGGGTCGCAGCAGACGGGGGTCGGCCAAAGCGCCGGATTTTGCAGGATCTTGCAGGGCCAGGGTCGCACTGACACGGGCTCGGGCGCAGGATTCTGCAGGATGTTGCATGATTCTGCGAGGCCTGACTGACCCGGGGCTGGATTGACCTGGGACAGAAGATCCCCAATGTTCGCTCGCCGTGCACCTGCACGGTGGAAATGGGTACGTTGAAGAAGGACAAGCGCCATAAACATAAACGTTTGGCATGCCGCGCGGTTTTTTGGGAACCGCGCTGGGCCTCCCTGGCAGCGCCTCCGACGCCGCCCCTGGCGCGCTCCGCGCGCCAAGGAGGGGGGTCCAGCGCAGATCCAAGGAATCCGCGCGGAGCAGCAAAAGTTTATGTATCACGGGTACCCATGCATCCTTGCCTCCTCGGTACATCCCTGGCCGCTTTCCTTGGCCGCGCCCCGCTCGAGAACCTTCGAAATGGGCGTCCAAGGCCCTTGCAGCCTTACCGCGCATCCTTATGATACGGGTCGACTGGACGATCGAAATGGGAACGGAAAGAAGGGGTACCGTCAACCCGCGGAGTAAGGATGAGCATTTTGTCGCAGGTTACCCTTGCATCCTTGCCCTTTGCACTTTGCATCCTTGCATCCTTCGGTATTCGGCGGCGCTCCGCTCGAAAAACGTCAACATGGCTTTCCAAGGCCCTTGCATCCTTATCGTGCATCCATACTCCGCGCGCGGGTTGACTGTACGAAGACCGACAGCAGTTCCTGTTTTTTACGCTCGAAATGGGAACGGAAACAAGGAGTACGAAGACCGACAGCAGTCCCTCCCTGGTTTTTGTTAGAGCAGGGCTCGCTGTCGGTGCCGCCGCGGGAGCTCGCCATGCGAGGCAGAAGGCCGCCTGCCCAGCAGCGGACGCTGCCGGCTTCTGTGCAACACTTGTTGTTGGGCTTCGTGCCCATTTTTTCCCGCTCCCCATACCCATTCCCTTAGCGGGCGAAGAACGGCATAGAGTTATCTCACCACCCACCAAACCACCCCAACCCAACCCGAAGGCCTCAAATTGATCTCCATTTCCAGTGGGGGGGGTCGGGGAACATCGAGAAAACACATATGGAACCCGTACCCCTCCAACCCGAAATTGGGGTCTTCGGGTTGGGTTGGGGTGGTCTGGTAGGTAGTCATTATCTGTTCCATCACCAGGGGCGCCTGCCCCAGGGCGGCCAGAAAGTTCATACTCTGACGTGCCATCGTAAAGGGTATAAAACCCGCCCTGGGGCAGGCGCCCCCGGTGACGGAACATGTTTCTGTTAAACCGCCTTCGCCCGTTGAAAACAATCCGGGCGCCCAGGACTCACCGAGCGCGCTCCACGACTCGCAGAGTGCCTCCTCGCAAGCGTCCGAAAAACAGATGTGTCGGCTCTGATGTAATGTATCGCATATCCCCCGCGGGGTATCAAGGTCATTTGCGACTAGTTACAGTCAAAAGCCCTGATACAAAACGCGCGACTTTGCTCAGGGTACCCTTGCGTCCTTGCTCTTCCTTGCTCTTGCGTCCTTGAGGTTTGCGTCGTCCGCCGCCCCAAAAATCCCAACCTCGGCTTCCAAGGGTCTTGCGTCCTTACCGCGCGTCCTTATTAGGGTTTTTGACTGTAGTTACTTTGCGAGTGGTGGAGCGCGCTCGTCTACAGTCGGGGCCCTGAAGAAGGAACCCTTCTCGTTGGGCAGGGGCTCCGTGTTCCCTGACTGTGTCGCAGCCTGCCTCGGATTTTCCTTAGGTCTTCGATACGAAATCGAAATTCAACTCACGGAAAATAGGGGCCTCGTTCCTTATTTAGGGTTCCTTAGGTCAACGCCCCGACTGTGGTGGAGCGCGCTCGTCTAAGAGAGAGCAGCCAGAGGGCGAGGGTGCGGCAGGCTCGCGTCGTGCCGAACGGCTGGGGCGGGCCCCGCCGCGGGCGTGCAGGGTCGAGCGCCGCCGGTGTTGCGTCGGGCACGTCCTCCTGCGGGCGGATGTTGGGCGAAAAAATGAAAAATACCCCAAAAATAGCAAAACAAATAATCCAAAAATAGTCTGGGGACTATGTTTGGGTTATTGTTTGACCTTTTTGGGGGGTATTTGTGGGTCATTTTTGGGTCAAGAATAAAAAGATACCCCTAAAATAGCCAAAATATAGTCCAACAATAGTCTGGGGACTATTTTTGGGGTTATTTGTTAACCTTTTTGGGTTTTTGTTGGTGGAATTTTTATTGTTTGTCGAGAATCCCCCTGTAGGGGGACACGTCCGACATAACGCCAGTGTTGGGTCGGGCACGTCCTCCTGCGGGCGGATGTTGGACGGAAAGTACAAAGTATTCAAACAGATACCAATGAATATTCAAACATTGCTGTTCGACTATTTCTGGATATTCCTTCTGTAGAGGGGCGTTCCCTACTCAACGCCAGTGTCCCAGAATCGGCCAATACGGAACGATAAGGGCTCGTCACGACACGAGCGCCAGGGGTCGTCACGACACGAATTTGCCTGACCTCGTAAGTCTAGAGGTTGGCACCGACACCAAGGTCGGCGGCGGCCTCCACAGAGGGAAGCTGACCCCGACTTCTGGGATGGTGGCAATACTCGGGCTTCCCAGGGTCTGTGGGCTTCTCAAGCTGAAGAATCAAACTTTGCATACACCTCGAGTGTCGGATGTCCGTGCGGCGTTCTTGGGTCGGGCGGTGGACCCCCATTCCTTGGCGCGCCCGCGCTCCAGAGATGGGGTTCCCTCCATGCTCAGCCAGGAGGAAGGTCGAGCCTCGCCACCAGCTGCCCGCAACGGACAGACTTTCCCCTCGCCGGGCACGGTGCCGCAGGTTTGTTTTCGCGTGGCGTGCCGTCTTGTGTTCAGCCTGAGCGCGGGCTTCGATGCTTCGTGCACACCGCGCAAGCAGACGGCACGATTCCGATGCATCCACGTGTTCATGTGTTTCTTTTGGGCATGGATTAGTGGTCATGTGTGTGCGCGCATGTCTTGTTGTCTTTCCTATGCGCGTTCCTGAATGTAGCTCCAACTCGAAGCCGAGGGTCGAGGCAAGCCGTGCCCTGCGGGCTGGACAGAAGGCGGATCGGTGCAGTCAGTCTGCAAGGCACCGTCCCTTCGCTTCACATTGTGGCCTTTGTTCCAGATCGATGTGGCATCCGAGTGCTAATCCATATGTGTTTGTTGCGTGATCGCGTTTGTGGTTTCTATGTGCCACGACTTGTTCTGGACTGGTTTGAAGCAGGGCGCTGGATTCAAGGGTACGACTAGGGACAGAAGCAGCAGCTGGAACGAGATGACACACGTTGCAGGGGTAGGTAGGAGTGTGTGGAGGAGGGGTACGACCATGATAGGCGTTGGGATTGTACATTCTGACGCTTCGCGTATCCCTGCCAGCCTCGCTTCTGGTTTCCAGACACCGCCACAGCCTGGCCGTGTCTGCCGTTGCCGCCGGCTTGGTGGGACCCTACCCCACCGGTTTACTCAGGAGTGGTCCAGCCTTCTTGGGTTGCCATGTGTGATCGTCCCCGTTGGCCTGCAGACTAGCACGTTGGACTGTTTATGCAGTCCCGCGCTTCGCCACGCTTGTGGCGCGTCGACCTCTGGCGCCTGGCTCGACAAGGTTCACTTCATCCTGCATGGTGGTCTCGCCTCTCGGATGCCCGCACGCTTGCCTGGCTCTCCTGGCAGCTCCTGCAGCCTCAGCCCTCGGCGCAGCTCAGCGTCCCTCGGCGGTAGTTCTGCAGCCGCCAGTGCGCGCGCTAGCTTAATTAGGTTTGTTCGTAGCCCGAGCTGACTTTTGACGCCACTGTGCGCCTTCGCCTGCGGCTGCGACGAAAAAGTAGCCCTGCCAGCCCATCCAAAAATCAAGCCCAGGCAAGTTGCAAGCGAGGTCGTCGGGAATGCAAGCCCTTCCACAGAAGATCGCTGGAGAAATGGGGGCCGGGGGCAACAAGGGTGAACGTGGAAATCTCTGGGTGTCTCTCGGGGCTCTCCAGGAACTGGAGGTGGGGTGGAAGGGTGGGGCGAGGAAGGAGGCCACTGCGTCTTGTCGCACCCTCGTCGTCTCGAGCCCCGTCCACTTCCCTTGTCCCCTGATGCCCCCTGTCCTGAGGATTACTCATGCCTCTCCGGGTGGCTTAGGGCGTTTCTTGGGAGTTTCGTGGGTACCTTTGGGGCCTCTTGGGCGGCGTGTTCGAAGGCTCCGAGTATTCTAACTGATTCCCGGATCCGATCAGGCTGATTACAACCTATGGTTTGGTGGTTGCCCCCCCTCTTTGTTACATTTCGCGATCGTACATCTCTCTTGTCAAGGCAACTTGTTTGGGCACCCTTTCTAGGTGGCTCAGTGGGGACACGAGAAACACCAACCGCTTCCCATCCCTGCGACTAGTGCGGCTCCTCCCAACACTCATGGCAGAGTTTGGTGCATCCTCCACCGTAGTTCTGAACATGACTGCACATGACACGTGACACATGGGCGAGACATTGCAGAGCGGGAGGTCCCACGAACAGAGGTCCCGGAAGGTGGGGATGTCGGGCGCGGGGGAGGCGCGTCGAGCGGTCAGATTGGGGTATGGGCGACAATGTGTAGGGCGGAGGGCCCCAAGAGCAGAGGTGTCAGGCGAGACGGGAACGCGGTGGGGTGTCGGGGTCGGTTCGCAATTGCCGCCATGTTCGTGGGCTCCTGGGGGGCACGGCGGGGTATCGGAGTGCGCGGATCAAGCCGAGACCTCGCAGCTCCTTGGGTGGTTGCGGATTGCTCAATTGTCTGCACGTTCGTGGGTTCCTGGGAGGCACGGCGGAGTCGCGGAGTACGCGCACCCAGCATAGACCTCGCAGCTCCCTCGATGGCTGCGAACTGTGCAGCAGTTATCACTTCCGTGGGCTTCTGGGGGGCACGGCGGGATAGTGGAGTAGGGGTATCCAGCGGAGATCCCGCAGTTCTTTGGATGTGTTTGAATTGCACAACAGTCGTCATTTTCGCGGGCTCCTGGGACCCACCCGAGACTTCGCAGCTCGTTGCCAGGCTGCGAATTGCGCAACGGTCACCACTGACGGTGGTTCCCTAGCGGAGTACGCGGGACCAGCCGAGACCCGCGGTTTTTTGGGTGGTTGCGAACTGCGCAATTGCCGCCACGCTCGCAGAGTAGCGGAGTACTTCGTGTGTTTTGCGGAGGCACGGCGGAGTAGCGGAGTACGCGCACCCAGCATAGACCTCGTTTTTCTTTGGAGAGTTGCGAATTGCACATTTGTCGCCGCCCTTTTCGTTGGCTCCTGGGAGGCACGACGGGGTAGCGAAGTACGCGGATCCAGCCGAGACTTCGCAGTTCTGTGGGAGGTGGTACATTGTGCAATTGTGGCCAATGTCTGTGTTCTTGGGGGGCACGGCGGAGTAGCGGAGTATTCGGATCCAGCCATGATTTGGATTGCGAATTGCGCAATTGTTGTTTTGCTGGCTCTTGGGAGGCACGGCGGGGTAGCGCAGTTCGTGGGTCGTATTGGGACCTCGCAGTTCCTTGGGTGGTTGCGAATTGCGACATAGTCGCCATTTTGGTGCGCTCCTGGGATGTACGGCGGAGCATGGGAGACTGCACACCTTGCCGATATTTCGCAGCTCAGTGGGTTGCTGCGAATTGCGCAACCGTGGCCACCTTCGTGGACTATTGGGAAGCACGGTGGAGCAGTGGAGTACGCACACCGTTGCCGCAAACTTTGCGGATACCTCGCGTTTCTTTGGTGTGTGTGTGTGTGTGTGTGTGTGTGTGTGTGTGTGTGTGTGTGTGTGTGTGTGTGTGTGTGTGTGTGTGTGTGTGTGTGTGTGTGTGTGTGTGTGTGTGTGTGTGTGTGTGTGTGTGTGTGTGTGTGTGTGTGTGTGTGGGGGGGGGGGCGAACTGTGCAAGTGTCGCCTCGTTCGTGGGTTCCTTGGAAGCACGGCGAAATAAAGGAGCACGCGGGGCTGAGACCTCGCAGCCCCTCTGGTGGTTGCGAACTGCCCAATTGTCGGGATCGTCGTGGGCTGGGAGGTCCAGCGGAGTCGGGGGCCACGCGCACCCAGCCGAGACCTCGCAGCTCCATGGGTGGCTGCGAACTGCGCAATCGTCGCCACGGTCCGTGGGCTCCTGGGAGGTCCAGCGGGGCCGGCGGGGGCCACGCTGACCCAGTTGGGATCTCGTTGTCCCCCCTGTGGGGCTGCGAACTACGCAGTTGTCGCCACTTTCGTGGGCCCTTGGGAGGCACGGCGGAGTAGCAGAGCACGCGCATCCAGTTGAGACCTCGCAGCTCTTTTGGATGTTGCGAGCTACGCAGGAGGAGGAGGAGGAGGAGGAGGAGGAGGAGGAGGAGGAAGAGGAAAAGGAAACGGAGGAGGAGGGGAGGGGAGGGAGGGAAGGAGGGAGGGAGGGAGGGGGAGGGACGGGGAGGGAGAGAGTGAGGAGGAGGGATGAGGGGGAGGAGGAGGAGGAGGCGAGGCGGAGGAGGAGCGGGACGAGGGAGGAGGAGGAGGAGGAGAGGAGGAGGAGGAGGAGGAGGAGGAGGAGAGAGAATAATAATAAGCAGAAGAGAAGAGGAGGAGAAGGAGGAAGAGGAGGAGGAGGAGGACAGAGGAGGAGGAGGAGGAGGAGGAGGAGGAGATGGAGGAGGAGGAGGAGGAGGAGGAGGAGGAGGAAGGAGGAGGAGGTACAGGACGGGAGGAGGAGGATGAGGGAGGAGGAGGACGAGCAGGAGGAGGACAAGGAGGAGGAGGAGGAGGGAGGAGGACGAGGATGAGGATGAGGAAGAAGAGGGCGAGGAAGAGGAGGAGGAGGAGGACGAGGAGGAGGAGGAAGGGGAAGAGGAGGAGGAGGAGGGGAAGGAGGGGAGGAGGAGGAGGAGGGGAAGGAGGGGCAGGAGGAGGAGGAAGATGAGGAGGAGGAGGAGGAGGAGGAGGGGAGGATTGGGAGGAGGGGGAGGAGGAGAGGAGGAGGAGGAGGAGGAGGAGGAGGAGAGGGAGGAGGAGGAGGAGGAGGAGGAGGGGGAGGTGGAGGAGGAGGAGGAGGAGGAGGACGAGGAGGAGGAGAGGAGGGGGAGGGGAGGAGGAGGAGGAGAGGGAGGAGGAGGAGGAGGAGGAGGAGGAGGAGGAGGAGGAGGAGGAGGAGAGGAGGGGGAGGAGGAGGGGGCGGGGGAGGAGGAGAAGCTAGGTGCGCAAGCGTCTCATCTGACGCCCTACCCCACCCTCCCATCCCTTACCATGGTGTAGATCTCCTCTCTATTCGTGCAGTCGGATGTCGTAACATAGCGTAGCATTACATGGCATAACGTGGCGCTTAGGATCATTACGTAGCATGACATCGCATGGCGTGGCACTACCTACTCAAGCATTGCTTATCATAGCACTGCAGCTGAAGGCATGGCATCGCGCAGCGGAGCACCATTGCATCACATTTTACACCCTGGCATGGCTCTGGAAATGAGGCCAGCGCTGCAGCGGGATCACGACTCGGAACGAGCGGAAGCGCGGAACTGAGGCCAGCGCTGCAGCGGGAGCACGATTCGGAACGAGCGGAAGCGCGGAAATGAGGCCAGCGCTGCAGCGGAGCACGATTCGGAACGAGCGAAAGCCCAAAACTGAGGCCAGCGCTGTAGCGCGAGCAACATTTTGAAGGACTGGAGTGAAACGGATGTGTGAAAACACTTTTGGAAGAAGAATTCGCCGGAAGCTTGTGTGTAAGAAAATACGCAGGGGGGGGCGAACATTTTCTGGACAGAGTCAGCGGAGAGAGAAGGGTAGTATTCATATTGTGCAATTGTGGAGGAGGAGCTGTTGCCGTTTCCGTGGGCTCCTGGGGGATCCAACAGAGTCGGGGGCCACGCGGATCCGACCGAAGTACCTCGCGGCTCTTTGCGGGGGGGTGCCGTCGCCCTTTTCTCGTGGGCTCCGGGGAGGGCACGGCGGAGATGGGGGCAGCCCTGATCGCCAGAGAAGGAAAAGGTACCCATACCTCGAAGAAGAAAAAGAAGCGCCATGAACATAACCGCTTGGAGCTACGCGCGGATCTCTCGGATCCGCGCTCGGGGCCCCCTGGCGCGCTCCGCGCGCCAGGGAGGGGTGCCTTGCCCGGATCGAAGAAATACGCGCGGACCTCCACAAGTTCCTCCAATGCCGCCGCTACCCTTCGGCCGGTGCCCCCTTTCCTGGGCCTCCTGGAAGGCCCTCGTCGCCACCCACCGCCGGGATCGCCCCGAAGTCCTGGTCAGAACGCGCCCCGACCTCAGAAAATAGGCAAGAACCCCTGAGCGCAGGCACTGTTTGAGGAATGACCGTCTCTCTTCTATCCTCTGCCTCCCTCCTCCCTGGTCCCCCGCTTCAGCTCTGCACGCGAGGCCCCCCCGGAGTTCGTGATGTCGACGGAGTGCGGCAACTACCTCGGACCGGAAGGGGCGGCTCGGCAGCAGGGGGCGCAGGGGGAGGAAGGCCAGAGGAAGGCCTCCTCCTCCTCCTCCTCATCCTCTTCCCTTTTCCAGGGTGGGAAACCACCCCGACCACCAAACCTTCCCATTTCCGAAGCGGCCGTGGGCGTTTCCTAAACAGCCCTGCTCTTTTCGTGTCCTTCCTTTGGGTGTCTGCACTAGACAGCTTCCCTTGTCGGGGTGCTCATTGTGAGAATTGTGTTTCTGCCCTCTGTCTCTCCCGCTCTCTCCTTTTGTCTCTCTCTCTCTCTCTCTCCCCTCTCCCTCTCTTTATCTTGATGTGTGTTCCTCTCTCACTATCTCGCTCCCTCTCCCTGTTCGCCGTGACGGGCCCAGGGTTCTGCAACGCGGGAGGGCAGGGCACAAAGACGTGATCTCCGGAAACTTGTCCGCCGAGAAGAAGCAAGAGCTCGAGATGCAGGCGATCGGCGCCCTGCCGCTTCGTGCATGTCGTCACGCCGTCATGCTTCGGGGGTGGACAGACCTCCCACCCTGACACGTGGATTAGCGAATTGGCCGTTTTCGCTTCGCGAGAGGGCGTCGCGGCCGTCATTTTTGCGGGTCCAGGTCCGTCGGTTTCGGTCCCAGGCCATTTTCGTTAAAGGGAGGTTTACTAAAGGGAGGTTTGTCCACCGCCGAATGCTGTTGATCGGATCTGGCATTCGAGGAAGAGATAACCACGGCATGGCCAGACATTTTCGGAGCTCTTCGGATCGGGTGACGCCTCCGGCGCCGCCGCGCCTGGCACGCTCTGCGCGCCAGGGGGAAAGGGCCCGGCGCAGATCCAGGAAATCCGCGCTGACCTCCGAAAAGTTCCATTCATGCAGTTGATTCTTCTTCATTGCGGCAGGTGTCCCAGTGGCCGGGTGATGATCCGACCCCCAGACCCCGCGCGAAATAATCAGGCGGCGCGGTTATCAAGGTACTACGAATGTTTTCTGGTTTGGTGTTGTTATCTATGCACGTTTCCTCGTGGACCGTTCCCACAACCTACCTCTGTGGCGCTGGGATCTCAAGCTCCGCGTGAGCACGCGCGCGCTCAGAGGCTACCTTTACTCCGAGGCCGCGCTGGCGGCTTCTCAGACGGACGAGCGCCCGCGCGTGCGCGGAGACCCAGAGAAAGAGTTTGAGCGAGGAAGAGAAAGAGAGAAAGGGAAAGAGACAGTCGGAGAGAGATAGAGGTACATGTGTATATATACGTATATTTATATATGCATGTCTATATATAAATATACATACATACATTCATACATACATATATATGTATGTATACCGAGCGAATATCTATATACAAGACACATGTGTTGTAAAGATCATATCTTAGACGAGAACAGAGAGCAAACAGGAGAAACATAGAGAGATAAAGAGAGAGAGAGAGAGAGAAAGACATACGAGCGCCCGACGGGAGGGCAGCGCGGCCGCCGCCCACCGCGACCGTCGGGACGGGGAGCCCGCTGGGCCCCCCCCCCTTGCTGGTCTGGCCCAGGCCGGGGAGCAGCACCGTCGAGGCGGATTGATGGGCCTGGCATCGCTCGGAGGATCTCTGGGAGCCATCCTGGGCTGGATCGGGGCCTCCTGGGCCGTCTCAGGGCTCCCTTGGCCCGTCTGACACCCTCGGGGGCCGTCTTGGGAGACCTCTCTGGGCCGCCTCCTGGCCCTCCTCAGGCGCTTCGGGCCGTCCTGGAGGTCTGCTGGGCCGTGCCCGCGGCAACCGCCTCTACGGAAGGGCTCGTGCCGAGCCTTGGCATCGCTCGGACGTGTGCATTTTTCCTCGCCGAGGGCGATCGAGGAGCATCCTTGATCATTTGGCAACAAAAGCCACGCACGAAACCGAAAAAAATCACAGGGAATGGACGTCCGAGCGATGGCCAGTGGGTCGACCCTGCCCAGTCAAGGGTGCCCCTGCGTCCCGTGTTCGGCGACCCACGCCTTCGACGTTCCTATGGCAGTGCGGCCCTCGGAGGGACCTCGTGTCCTCTCGCGTGTCCCCTCGTATCAGCCTCGACTGCAAAGCAGGACAGTCCTAACCAGGACTTTGCACATTTAGTGTAAACGGGACAAGCGGCTTCACCTTTTCCGTCCTCCTCGGGAGGAGGGGGAGGGGGAGGGGGAGGAGGAGGTCCACGATGCCTCCCCGAGCGAGAGACTGGGGATGTCTCGAGAGAGGGGGGACCACGCCACCAGGGCGAGAGCCCCCCCCTTGCCTCCGCGCATCTCCTCGCCCTGGTGGTGCTGGCGTCGCCTTTCCTTGCTCCCATCCACGGGGGGAACGCACGTGTTTTCCGGCGCGGCGGCGAGCGGTGCGGCACGGCCGCCGGGGCAGCAGAGGTGGGCCTCGCTCCGAGGAGATGTTGCGTTTCGTGTCGGAGCGTTTGCACGTCTGGCAGTTCCCCTCGGGGCAGTCCGGCACGGGTTGAACTGCCACACACATACACACCTTCTCAGAGACGCACACACACACATTCACATACCCCCCCCACACACACACACACACACACACACACACGCACACACACACACACGCACACTCTCAGCGACACACACACACATTCACACGCACACGCCCACACACACAAACACACACACACATACACAAACACACACACACACACACGCACCTCGCTTCCCCCGCCCCTCCCTGGGTGGACTAGCAGTAGCTGCTGGGAGGCCGACAAACATGACATGTGTTGCTCCCATGTCAGCTCGGTTGAGAGCGCACATGTCATCGTCATATACATGCTGTCTCTGCCGTCACGTTTCTTAGCTCAGTAGCCCCCCTCAAAGGTCTGTACGAGTGTCAACAAACATATTCTAAACCGTCACCGTTCTGAAGTTTTCGAACACCCCGGCTATTAGCCCTCTTCCGTCAGCCCCATGTATCGAATCGTCATGTTGCCAGCAAGCGCCCCGAAACATTATTTGATAACAGTCCTGCGGCCTGTTTGGCATCACGCCCAGCACTCTGAGCGTGTTGTTACGTTGAAGTTTCAACGTACCCCCGGCAGATTACAGTATTTATCATGTGTTCCTCCATGTTCGACGGTGACATCCGTGCTGTACGGCAGTGGCGCTTGACAATTACGACACACCGGGCTCTCATATTACTGTGGGAGTGTTCCACTGGCTTCGAGACCTTGGATTCCTTATCCATTGGTTCCTCATCCAATGTCCCCACCGAATCCGTAGCCATTTTGGCTCAAGGCCATGAACCGTCCCGACGACCGCGAGTCTTTCGGGGCGACTTCTGAGCGCGAGGGAGGTTCCGCTTTGAGGCCACCTTCCTTTCCTAAGTGTGTCAGCTGCCACAGCAGCACCTTCCAGGACCTGCGGGTCAAGTCTTCTTCTGAGTCGGCGGGTCCGCCCCCGCCGTCTCCTGCCTGCTGCTTGCCCGCAGCTGAGCAGCGCGCCCGACCGTACCAACGATGGGGCCTAAGGCCGTGCCTGGCTTCGTCGTGTGCACGGGCTGCCGGTACCGCTGGAACTTCCGCTCGAACGCGAAGTGCTGGCTGTGCGGGATCGGGCTGGAGCTGGCGCCCTCGAAGCCTTCGCCCCGCGTTGGGGTCTGGGCGGACGGTGGCGGCGGCGGACCCCAACTCGCACATTGCGGCGGCGGCGGCGGAGGCTCATTGAAGAATGGAGCCAAGGACGGCAAGGGCGGCAAGGGCCGCGGTGCAGCCTACCGTGGTGGCGGCGGTGCAGTCTCCCGTGGTGGCGGCGGGGGTGGCGCGGGCTGCCGTGGCGGAGGCGCCTTCCCGAGGGCCCCCTGGTCGGCCCTGCCCGAGAGCGAGCTCGACGCGCTCCTCGCCTGTGGGGACCCAGCCATCGCAGCCAGGCTGCAGGAGGCGGTCCGCGAAGCGCGGAGCTATGTCGCGCCCGCGGCCGCCCCAGTGCCGAAGCCGCTCGAGCAACGTCTGGAGTCGGCCACGGCGAAGCGGATCAACCTCCAGCGCCAGCTGGATGAGGCGGCGGACGCGCTCGTGGTGGCGGAGGACCACCTCGCTGAATGCCGCGGCTGGCGTGACGAGGCTGCGGGCAGCCTCGCGGAGGCCAAGGAGGAGGAGAACGCCCTCCTGCGCCAGCGTGCCCAAGCGGCGGGCGTCGTGGGAGCCCAGCCCGACGGCGCGAGGCAGCTCACCTTCAACTTTGACGCGGAGTCGTTTGACAACTTCGCCGAGCTGGAGGAGGAGGCGCAGGCCGCCCTCAGGCGCCTCTGCGATGAGGGGCTCCAGATCATGCAGGGCGCGCAGGCTACGTTCGAGCGCAACTGCCAGGAGCACCAGCAGCGCATCAAGCGCCAGATCGCGGAGGAGGCGGCCAAGAAGCGCAAGCGCACCGAGCAGGGGCCTGCAGCAGCCGTGGCCCCTGGCACCCCCGTGCAGGGCGCGGGCGCCCCGCCGCAGCCTGCGGGGCAGGCGGCCGCCCCTGCTGCCCCCGCCGCCCCCGCCGCAGACGCTGCGCCTGGAGCTGGGGCTCCCCCAGCGGCAGCGATGGGGAGCCGAGCGGCAGACGAGGCGGCCCGCCAGCGCGCTGCCGACCAGAAGGCCGCTGCGGCGGCCCCTCCACCTCCTGCTGGCGCTGCGGCTGGCAGCGGCCTGGCCCGCGCGTAGCACCCTGCTGCCAGGCGGCGGCCCCGACAGCGCGGCGCCGCCCGCCCCTGTAGGGGCTGAGGGGACAGAGGCGGCGGCGCCCAGCCGCTCAGAGGCGGCGGCGGCGCCGGGAGGCGGCCTGCCCGCCTACAAGGCGGCCAACGTGGCGACCGACGCCTGGGTCGAACTTCCCTTCATTGTGCCGCGGCTGCGCCAGGAACGGCGCTTCGGCGTCGTGCGCCACGACACCAAGTTCGAGGCGCTCAGCAGCAGGACAGAGCCAAGCGCTGCGGCTGGCATGGCTGGGCCCGACCGAAGGACTGGCAGTCCTCAGCCTAGCCAGGGGCCCACTTGCCATAGTGGGTACCCAATTCAAGTTGACGAGGCTACGGGCGAGGGCGTGAGACCCCCTGAGGTTCGGAGCCCCAAGGCGGCGAGCAGCCGCCCGACTGGCGGCCCCGCGGCCGCCGCGGCAACCGAGCAGCCTGCGGCCCAGCCTCAGCCTGGGCGACCGCAGGCCAAGCCCCTCCAGCTGGCCAAGCAAATCAGGCCTACGGGACCGAAGCCAACTAGCTTCGTCACGCTCAACGTCTCGACCTGGTCAGAGAAGAAGGTGGAGATGGAGCGGATCCAGGATGGAGGAGGTGACGACGTCATCCTGGCGCAGGAGAGGCGATGCGCTTATAGCCAGAAGGCGGCCAACGCCTGCTGCTGGGCCAGGAGCAACAGCTTCAGCGCCGCCTTCGGCAGCGTCCACAGCACGGGGCAGGCGGCGCAGGCGGGCTCGGAGGGCGTCGGAGTGCTGGAGTCAACGACCTGGGGCGTGGCGGCGACC